CTAAAGCAACAACTATATCAAATAAATCTATATGATAAACAATTGCAAAATTAACCAAATAACAAGATCGATGATCTACCAGAAAAAGTCAAGAACTAGGAATGTGAAATGGTGGGACCGATCCAATTAACCTTAGATGCACGAGTGACTGGACCCTACTCTTCCATAAGTGGGTCTAAAAGGACCCGTATTAGAATAATATGTGTTTTTATACCATTTCCGTCATTTTGGTTAAAAAAAATCACTTGTATAATGTTTAGTATTATATTTTGGTTCACACTAGAAATATTTTATATTGAATCTTTCACAATTTACAATTTTAGACATTTTTTTTACATTTTGAAAAAAAACGTTTTCAACATATTGTTGCAAAGATCTCCGCTATTCTGAGACCCTCACAGTATTCCAGTCCCTTTTCAAAACTCCTCTCTTCTCCTCTTGTCTACTCATCATAGCCCACCCCCCATCAATCCATGCCGGTTGATCAAGTTTGATAGTCCTATACCCCCAACCCTAACCTTCCCTTATATTGTAAAGCGATTTTGCGTCCTTGAAAAGCCCTATACAAATATAATGTATTATTATTATTATTATTATTATTATTATTATTATTATACTAACAGGTATGAGATCTTGCTGTGTAAAATAATCTTCCTGAGAGGTGTCACTTGTGATGTAGTCTGTGTGGTCTACAGTGAATGTATTCCTGACAGCAACAGGTGATAAGAATCAAAGGTTCCCATAGGATCCCATAGAAAATGAATGCGGGTCATTTTTGACCCATTTATGGAAGCTTGGGGTAGAAATACAAAAACTACAATTTCTTAAAATGCATACAATTAAAATTTAAAATGTGAATGGCATGATATCCAAAACATGTTTTTTGAGGAATAGCTAGAATATGAAATGATTAAAAAAATGTATTACAAAGATGCTTCAAGAAAACCACCTCACCGGGTCAAAACACCCACTTATGCATCTAAGGGTTAACCTGGTTTAAAATGTAAAAATATATTTCCTATAACAGTGAATTAGGTATACTTGCAGTGGGCCTATAATACTAATATTAAAAAACTGACAATGTGCATCCAGGGAAATACCAACAGCCACTCCTGCTAGTGATAATCCTGCTCCTGCCTGTCAGAGGGAATCAGAGAGGCTGTAAAAGCGGCCTGTCAGCAGCAGAAAGCCGAGAAGCTGCAGCCATAATTGCAGCTTTAAGCCCAGCAGAGGGCCGCTAAAGCCGGGCTGGAAAACCTCTCCGAGCCTTTTCTAAAGAAAGCTCACCGGCCAAATTCTCTCCTTTGATTAAAGACTTGTCTCTACTTGATCAATAATAGCTGAACTTTTCTTACTCTAACTCTGGAGCTAATTGTGCCGAGGCCTGAGGTGAAACACAGAAAGTCGGTCAGGAGTTTAAAACCTGGTGCATGAAAGTCTTTGAGGACGATGTGTTATTTAAAGAAGTAAATGAGATGTAACAGTAGATCATGAAACTCTCCGCCTGAAGGGCACTTGAGCTGTGAACGCTTTCTGCCTCTGAATATCTGAATTAATTGGAAGTATTTACCTTTTTCAACATCCAACTCTTTGCCAACGTTTTACACTTATATCCAGTTGTGGTAAAGTGCCTTTACTGAATTACTGTACTTAAGTACAATGTTGCATTACTTTACTTTTGTATTTCTATTTAATATTACACTCTTACTCCTTGGAACACCTTCAATTTAATTGACACCATTAGTTGCTAGTTACTTTGTAGTTTAATGTTATTAATAAACAAAGTCTAAGTGAGCTAATCATTTATGGATTTAGATACCTGGCAATATAAAAAGTAATTAAAGTTAGCTCCACTTTTACTAAGCTGCACAATTTTAATTATATACACAATGATGCACTATGATCCTGTATATTATATATTACTCTGAAAATGGCTATTTTACATAATGATTACTTTTTTTTTTGCTAATTCATTTGTGCTTTAATTTAAGTGAACTTTTGATGAGAGTTACTTTTAACAGAGTGTTTCTACACTTTGGTATTACTGCTATCACTTAATTAAAAGTGCTTGTTACTGCTTATAACCAAAATAGAGTCAATGCAATAGAAAGGTGATTTGATTAACCTCAGCAGATTGAAGTAAGAGTAAACTCAACTGAAACCTCTTAAATCCGATTATGATTAGTATTTTTAAAAGTTTAAATGTCCCCTTTTCCAAACAAATGAGGTTAAAAACGGTATTTGTTATATGTATTGTGGTGGACACATGTAGTATGTGTAGTTCCTCGTACCTGCACTCTGGACTCGGGCAGGTTGATCTTCAGCGCCACCTCCTCCCTCATGAAGATGTCCGGGTAGCGCGTCTTGCCGAACAACGACTCCAGGATGTCCAGCTGCGTCCGCGTAAAAGTGGTCCGCTCGCGGCGCTGCTTCCGCGGGTTTCCTGAAAGAAAAATACAAAAAACTCGTAATTTACTCTGTCCAGGACTTTCAAAAACAACTTGAATATTGCTCAAAAAGTTAGAGACTGAATCTTGTCATATACTGCGAGATCCTACCTGCGTAAATGCAGTTGTTTGGATAGTTTCGCTAGGGCCGTGTCTTCATTTTTGTTTTAGGCCCTACTTGTTTTTTGTTGTCATTTTTCAATTTGCAGAACCCCAGTTTCTTTCGCTTATTTCGACGTCTTTCGAGTATAAAAACGTTTTTTAAAAGTACATCGATAGAGGAGCGTATTATCATCAACATTAAAGCGACAGAAGTAACTAAACTAGTCGATTATTTTTACAAATTACAACTTCATTGTGCCCAAAATGCAGAAGCACCGAGTTAGAATCAAAGACTAATAGCCTATCACACACATCGTTAAACGTGCATACACCAAGTGTCCCAAATCGCAATAATCACCTTTTCTGTTCAGCTTCTAAAATTAACTTAGGTTTTCAAAATAATATATTTAATTCGACTTTATGTGTTATTACTAACCAGACAACAGAAGTATTTATCGGTGTAAAAGCAGTCTATTACTTAAAATGGATGTAGGAACAATATCTGTCTTGATCATAAAATCGTGAGTTATTGAAATATAAGGAACACCACAGCATAGCCAATCAGTACAATTGAAATATTTGGAGATATGGAAGTATTATTAAGATACATATAAGCCCTGTTAGAACCGCACTGAATAATTCCCTGGAAAGTTGTATTTAAAATAGTTTGTTGTATGTGTGGTCCGTACCGGGGAAATAAACACAAAGGCCTAAAATAACAAATCAAAACAATAACACCACAGCATATCCTAACAGTAACATCGAAATATTTGGAGAACCACATTTTACAGGTTGTCTTATAAGATAAATGTAGTCTAACTTATACACCACAATGAAATGAAGTTGTATTTGTAAGATGTTATTACAGTATGCACATGTCTGCTCTTGTGGTCCGATGTAAAACCTACAGACGTGTTGTTTAAAACCACAGTGAATAATTCCCTGGAAAGTTGTATTTTAAGTCGTTTTTTGCACATGTCCGTAAACATAAAAAGCCAATAATAACAATAAAAACAGTAACACCACAGCATACCATAACAGTAAGATCGAAATATTTGGAGAAACAAAGTTTACAGGTTTTATTATAAAACAAATGTAATCTAATGCATGCGAGAGTGCTGCGAGTGCTGTTAACCACGATGTATTGAAGTTGTATTTTTAAGATGTTATTTTGCATAATGTCTGCTCTTCTGGACCAATGTAAAATCTATAGACGTGTTGTTTAAAACCACAGTGATTAATTCCCTGTAAAGTTGTATTTTAAATCTGCTTTAACTGGTCTAGTTTCCCCGGTATAAGTGCTCCGTACCGGGGTATCCCACCGACGGGTGCAGCAGGTCCATGGAGCTCAGGCCCATCCCGTTCATCCCGTACGGGGCCTGTTTGAGGTAAGACATCATGCTTGAGCCCGGGTGGGGGGAGGGGGGGCCGGGGTCTGGACGGGAGGAGAGGTGCAGGTCTCCCGGTGTGAAGGTGTGAAAATCCCCCGGTGTGAAGCTATACTGTGAGACAAAGAAGCTCCGTGAGTTTGGGCAATAAATAAGTCGAAATACACTTTTTAATGATCCGCATCAAACCACGTGATAAAACACAACGGCCTGTGTTCAGTTAAGCAGAGAAACATTTTAAATAGGCCTCCACTTTCTTATCGTAACTCTTAACTAACCTGATTAAAAGTCACACATATAATTGCCTTTCGAGACCAGTCATTTTGTCTTAAAAGCTCAACTCACTACTTGGCAACTTTTCTAATTTCACTGCATGTTTTTAAACAGTGAAAGCAAATGTAAATGACCCGGCTCCTACGAGACAAAGAAGCACGGTGAGTTTGGACAGGAAATCACGTCGAAATACACTGAAGTAGGCCTACACTATTTCCTTATCGGTTATAAGTGTTAATGCATCCTACAATCTAATAAAAACCGATAGCTTGCGTTCATTAAGCAAAACACATTTTACTTCCCGGCCTCTCGATTTATTCTCTAACAAACTCTTAACCAAACTCATACAAACTGATTAAAAGTCACATTTCCCCCCTAAATAAAACCACTTTCTTACGGTCTATTTATATGAACTTTAACAGCATGTTTTGAACAGTGTCGAAAGCATTAAACGGTGCAATCAGTCAATGTCATTAACCCTGCTGATTGTGAATACAAACGTGTGCATTTCACGTTTTGGACGTTTTATAATTAATTCCTAAAAGACCAAGGATGTGATTTCACAAAGTAGGCTAATGAAGCCAGATGGCCTCGGTAATAATCCTCGGACTTATTTACAAGCTAAATCTGATCTAATTAAAAATAGCTGTAATAATTGAAGTGGAAAATATGTTAGTTTTAAGGAGAATTGATCTGCATGTGCACGTTAAATTGTTAAAGCATCCTAATTGTATCTAGAAATAAAAAGGGACGTCCAGGCCACGAAGACACTTCAAGCTCAAATTGAGAAAGTACAAATACTCACAATAACTATTTATAAATGTGAAATAAAAATGACATTATACCTTAACGTTGTAGTGCTTAGAGATAACAACAGTTACAGTCAGTTTCAGTAAATTAAAGACACATTTAAGGTGAAAAATGTCACTCAGCTAAGTGGGAGAAACTCTTATTGTAAATAATAATGATAGTAACGATGGGCAAACTGCTGCTAATGCAGACCCCAGTGACACAGCAGCATCACAGAGGCCTGTTATCACTCGGATCTTCATTACGTTTTAATTAATTCAATAGCTCACAATTAAATCGACCTGTGGAGACACACGTTTAAATTACAGGCCACTCGAGACTTCTCTCACCTCTGAATATCTCTGCAGGAACGTCAGACTAAATCTTATTTACTCAATTAGAGACTCAGACTTTAAGTAGCGATGATGCATTTAAATAAAACGTAGTTATTTTTCTACTTCTGGATTTTGCAGTCTCTCCCATTTTTTTCGGTAATACTTTAATTTGTTTGTTGGACTTAATGTATCTCCTAACCATTTACTGACTTTTGCCATGTCTTTTTGGGTAATTTAATGCAATGTATATTTATTATGTGTCTCTCTGACGCTCTTTTTTCGCAAATGTAAGAAGCCTTGATGAAAACATTATAAACACACATTGTCACATTATGCATCTAAATGAAGCTGAACAATAGTAGAATATTAAATGTAGCCTAATTAAATACAAAACATGTGGTTAAAGACTGATGATATACATAAACAGGAACATTATATACAGCCTGTAAAGAGACACATAGGCCTATCTAAAGTCAGAACGAGTAAATATCCCGATTTACTAATTTGTTTCCTGCAGAAGTTAAGCTTAATAAACTCCCTTAGTAATTAACTGTCAGTATTAGTGTAAGACAATGTATTTAGATAAGAATTTCCATAATCCACTGGGGTCCTTTTAGCAGATATACAAGGCTCACATTTCGGACTAATAGCAGCTTTTTCTGCAGTTAAAGGAACTGAACTGAGGCGTTAACACTCCACATAAAGACTTTCTTATTTCCATAACCGCAGGAAGGAGCCCAGGCACAGAATGTAAATTCTTTTAAAACTGTTTGCAAATGAAGTCCATTACAATTTAGATTAGATCTACAGGGCGACAATTAGCAGAAAGGCTGTTATCAGGAGAGCAACCGGACCGCAGGCTGAACTGATGGGAGGAAATACAGCTAAAACAGATACAGATAAAGCCCACCTTTAAGTAAAAGTTACATTAAATACAAGGGGGGAAATGTTGCTATTTTGTTTTCCTCTTTCTCATAGGAGACACATCAATGAAGCTTTTTAAATATGAACAAATAGGCCAATACATTTCAATCAGTGTGTTTTCGTTATACTTGATTTAGATGCTTCCAAATTAACAAGTACTTAAACATATCTTTTAAATATAAATAGCTGTTGCCCTAAATATAATTTCAGCAGGTTAATGTTGGCATTTGGTACTTTACTGTTAATAAAGGGGGAATACACAGGATGAATAAAAACAAAATCAAAGCAGGTATAGTCTCACCTTCTTCAGACACCTTCTTTCTTTTAATCCTTGTTAAATGTCAAACCACAGAGATCCAGATTTCGAAAAAAATATCCACATGGAGGAAAGTTTGTTGTTTTTTGACAGAAGTAACGCACGTTCAGCAGTTTCGAAACTAGAAAACAAACATTTCTACGCAGAGAAATAAAAAAAAAAATATTTTTTTTACTCTCGCTCCGCAATACTTCTCTCTCCTGTCGGTGTTGACGGATAAAGAGATTGATGCTCGTCTGGGAGGCCCCACGCTCTATGAGTCAAGGGAAGCACTCTGCTCTGAGTCCTCCCAGCCAATCACAGCGCTCCGTGGATGGAAGGGGGATGCGGGCGGCCAATCAGCTTGGGAGCTTGGCGCCAAAACACCCGCCCCTCTTCGGATGGAACGCGTGTCACATGACGCGGAGGGACCTTTCGTGTCGGAAAGTTGAAGGAGAGAAACGGCCGGCTGCCATTACAGCGACTCCTGTGTGATTTAGCCGCTAATTTAAGACACACTATTGACGTTAAACAGTAATTCTGCACTCCGTAATGTTCTATTTGTTTTTGCTTTATGACGCTATTAGCACAGCAGTTGACCCATATTTGGCCTATGAAGGAAGAAGTCAAATTGAACCGGCATATTTTAGTTTGTTTGCATCGTAAATAAAACGACAATTACGCTTTTTTAATGTGGTTTATGGCATACCAAGTGACCCATTACATTTTTTAGAGTACTTTATTAAGGCTGCCAGGCCTATGACACTATCAGGATTAAACTACTTTTAGTTGCAACAAATCACTTAAAAAATGTCTAAGGCCCAAAAAATATAGGGTAATCTTTTTTATTAACTCTATAAGCCTATAGTGGATCCATTGAATACAACAGGAGGTATTATCGCCTCTAAACAACACTGATAATCTCAACCAGCTGATTCAACTGAGGAATAAATAAAGAATATCTGCCAGAGAAAAAAGAAATGCACTAATTAAACATGTGTATCTGATTAAACAGAGATTCTGCTTTCATGATTTAAACTATTTAAATTGAACGACATGTGAATTAAATAAACAGGATGGCCTAAAGAATCAAGAATCATAAATGTGTTTGCTTTTGTAAATGTGTGTATTGCATTTGTGACTATTGACAGAACAAGGCAACTTAACCAAATGCAGAGGCTACATTATGTTAACAATACTTTCTGCAAATCATAGATATAGGCCTTCTACATTAATAAACATATTAATTAGGCTACCAATTAGTGAACAAATTGCTTAAGTTCCACACAATGTAAGTAATTAAATAATGCAGGAAGTGCCTGTTGAGAAATGTAACCTTATGGTGGCCTTCTCCTGGCAGAACATAGCCTATTAATAAAACAATCAAAAGAAAACAAATGGCAGGTTGTGCAGAAATGATAATGTTGCATATGTTTGGGGTCTCATTTCCTCTGTGGGCCCTCTGAAATTGGCTGTGGCCGACGGCAACAAAGCCAGTAATTGATCACAAGTATCAAGATATCAAATGGACGGAGGCATTGTTGTTGTGAGGGTTTTTGGGGTCTAATCCCAAATTGCAGGAGTATTTTCTTAATACTAAGCCCAGCAAATCCAAGGATCAGGCAGCCTTAAGAGGGGTGCGTGTGTGTGTGTGTGTGTGTGTGTGTGTGTGTGTGTGTGTGTGTGTGTGTGTGTGTGTGTTGGAGGTGGAGGGGGTTAAGTTCGGAGAGGCTTCTCCTCTGTGTTGTCGGCTCTTATTAAAAGCATGATGCATAAAATCCAAGGTTGTCAGAAAGCATGCAGGAGGCTCCGGCCAGGCTGCTGCACGCTTTACAGGAACAAAAACACACAAAACCTGCCGTGCAGAGACAGGAACGGGAGGAGAAGCCCTTTAACATCAGCTGACAACCTTGAGTTTGGCTTCAGGCTGCAGGAGAAGTGCAGCTCAGCAGGCAGCATGAGAACCAAAAACACTTTGATTTGGATTCAACAGGAGAACATCTGCTCTGCTGGGACTCTCAGGTAAGAAAACCCCTGTTGATAGTTAAGTGTTTGTAGTTTAAATTATATGTATACAACTTTTTAGAAGTGCATAACTGTCTCCATCAGGTTTTTAAACTGTAGCTGTCATGTTTGAGATGATGTAAATTCATTTTAAAAATGCATACACTGGAACTATTTCTTCCTCGAGGCTGTGTGTGTGTGTGTGTGTGTGTGTGTGTGTGTGTGTGTGTGTGTGTGTGTGTGTGTGTGTGTGTGTGTC